CCTGCTGCTCATTGAAGGGTTAGAGAGAACAGGCGGTTGCAAGAGAGAAGACAAATGGAAAGCCTGTGGCTCAAATTAATCAAGAGCAATTGATTTGAAGACAAATAGGAGCAATGCAGGGTTTGATGACTCCTCTGAAAATCACAGGGTGCTCCCAAGAGGCCATTGACAGAAGGTTCAGAATGTGTTCTGCGTATTGTGACTGGCCTGGAAAGAGAGGCAAGGAAGAACTGAACATGAGACCGGTCAAGACTTCACAGTATTATACATCAAATTAAAATGGTCGTGGTGATGCAGCACATGCTAAGGTAGATGGAGGAAGATGTGAAAATCTTAGGTGGTCGGAAGGGATAAATTGAGGTGGATGAGGAGGGCTGCAAGGGATTCAAAAGAATAGCAGTAAGGTGTGGAAAGCTTTGGGTAGGCTGTGGTAGGGCCAAAGGTTTTGGACTGAACACTACCCCCTGCTTTTCAATGTTAGGGCACCCTTTGCATCTGGGAACCAGCCACTGTATTGTCCATTTGAGGATTAAGTATTTAATACAGTTAGTCAAAGTTGCAAATCAGACACTATTAAAACCCAAACAAACTAAAAAGTCTGGGGGAAAAAAAACCCCACAAAATAATAATAATAGCGACTTTTAAAAACGTTGGACATTTGGATTATTAATTTTTGGCTGTTGTCATTTCAAGGTCACGTGTTTAAATGTATTTATTACTTCAGCAGTGACAGAAAATGTCCAAGCAACATGTTTCTTAAAGTATCCTTGAAAAATAAATTATTTAAGAGGTTTCAAAATGTTAATGAAAAAAGAAGAAATTAGTTTACCTTGGAGTCAGGGAACTTTTAGTGAGATATGTAGCTATGAAAATATATGATGTCATATGTTTGTACAGTTCCTTTTGCCTCCTGAAAAGCTGCAATATTTTAGTTTATTTTGCTTTTTTTTAGCAGAGAAGGAAAGCAGCAATGTAGGAAAGAGTCAATGGACTATAACCTATTTACTTTCAAACAGTTTTGTTCACATACCACAGTTACATGTGATGGACTGGTGATCCATTTCCCTGCAAATTCAGCAGAAAGGACACTAGAACTTTCATCCAGTTTTCTCACTTCATAGATCAGCTGCAGCAGGAGCCTGTTGTCGTCTCGTCAATGACCAGGAAGCACTGAAAGGGAAGCGAACCCCACTCTTAATATGTTATCCAAACTTATTTGCAGGGGTCTCACAATTCTTAAGCTGCATCCACGTTTTGGGTACTTGTCAAGTCTTGCTGCAGAGTGAGCAAACAGCAGGGTGACAATTTGCTGCATGCTCCCTGTTCCACACTGAGTCTCTGCGCGAACCCTTTGACAGGAGCATAAACTACTGCACGTGGAAAGAAAAATTGAGCAGGAGGAAAGTATGTCCATAATTACTACCTTCTGCTTTTCTCCTCCTCTTTGCTGCCTTATTTGACAGCTTCCAGGCAGCTCAGATGAGAACTGGAGCAGATGCTGAAGCAGTGGGATTTCTGGACATCTTGGATTTTCATTGCCTCCTTTGCAATTATCCTGGAAGTTACAATCTGGAAGTTGGATGAACCGAACATTTTCTAGAGTTTATGTGCAGCAGAGACACTGTTTGGTACTTTGAAGGAAAAAAAAAAGTTGTAATGGTGGTTTTTGTTTATAAAGAGAAATAGGGGTACTGAGTTTGGCTTGTAAAGTTATACAGTTCTAAGTTTTTGATGTTTTCAGTGACATTAGGCTGGTATGAAACTGGTACAGCTACAGGCCAGGTCAGACTCCAGAGGTTTCTTGTGTTTCGTAAACATTGAAATGAAGAGGTTTATTGCTAGGACATTTCCCTGCAGTGCTGCAAAGTAAAACCTGATAGCATTATGGATCTTGACTGGAAAGTCAAATTGGCAAGTCTGATTTCATCATGTGGCTTAATTATGTACAGAATGTAAAC